TCTTTGTTCTTGCCTCATGCCGATCTGTACCAGGATGTCACTGTCTTGTGTCAGGATTCACATTGCTGTTTGCAGAAATTGGTCTCTGCTTATGCCCTTAGCCAGAATTCCCAATGAATAGAGACTCCCAGCCCGTGTGGTTAGAGGGGTGATGCCCTTCAGTGTGAGCATCTGCCTGTGCAATTTACATTCTTTTCTCTGGGCAGACTTCTCCCCTTCACTTGAAAGGTGCCGGCACCTGGCCTGCCTGCTTTGATCTACACGTTCTTCCCTGTTGGGGCGCCCTGTGGCTAATGAAGGGGTCCCCTCTGCTTGGTGAGAAGAACAACCTCCTGAGTAAAATCTGAGCCAAAAATGAATTTCTCAACAGGCAGAAACAGGTTCCCCATGATGCTGCCACGGAAACACCTGATAGCAGCACCTCTGGCATGTTCCTGTTTAAAGATTTCTTTTCCATATTGAATAAACCACATGACTTAAACACTAAGTAGCAAGTTTGTTTATAAACTGCCTTTAATTAAGTAGAACAAACTACTTGCCTGAAATATTAGGTGGGGTGAGGGGGAGTTCCATACTAGTTAGAAAACCTGATTAAGGTATGTCTTTATGCTCCATTTTATTGCTTAAGTTTTTTGTTCATTTCTTTGTTTTAAATTGTAGAACTTGCCACTATTGGCCATTTGTCAGAAGTCTTTTTCCCCCTTGGTGGCTGTAGCTTCTTTTTAGAGAAAAGTTAGCTATGACTCCAGATAAAAGGGCAGTCAAGATTTGGTACTTATTATTTTGCCCGGTTCTTACTGAAGTTTCAGTGAAGCACAGGGAAGCTGTTACTACAGATCAAGGTGTTTCCAAACATTTGCATTTATATACTCATTTCTTAGAGTGCAGTGCACACATTAAAAAGTCTCATAAATGATACATAAATTCTCCATTTCTACATGAAAGCATACTGTCCCTTCAACTAAACTCAGGCCTGGAGGCTTAAATAAAATCCTTTTCAGATTATTGTTAGTGCTGTGCCTGATTCTGCAGCAGCTGTTGCTTTTGAACAATATGATGCTTCTCCTCCCCCAAGAGAAGTCGAAAATGCCTCTTTTGCAGCATTTTCAACCTTTGTAGATTCAGGGAGCATATAATAGACTGAGAAATGAACCCAAGAAAGTTTCTGTTTGGGAATTCGGTGCACAACTTAAAAACTATTGAGTTTAGCCACTTCTTGACATTGACTTTCACAGCAACAGTTTAATTTGGAGAAAATCTGCTACCTCAAATGGCTCAAAGTATTTATGTGGAAAATTTTCCAAATGATTGACTTTACTGTGTTGCTATTTTCTTTCCCCATGAATATGTGAGTATTTGGCTTCCTCCCAGGAGTTTTTCTGCATCACTTCTCTTTAGGCAAAGAAAATTTTCTATCCAGAGTAGAAGAAAGAAGCACCAAGAGTTTCTCCTTTTTAAGTGAAGTATTATTTGAGTTTAAACCATAGCATCTGTAAAAATGAAGAATTTGAGTGTGTCTCCTAAGTCCTGAAATTTTCCCATGGCCATCTTTCAGGCAGTCAGAGTAACCTTGCTCATCACTTTGGAGCCAAAGCAACTGTGGTCGGCTCTGTGCACCCTCCAGCTCCGCCTTGTCTCTCGCCTGTCCATTCGCATCAGTTTTGCTGCAGGACTTGTTTGTCCCCAGGCCCTCTCTTACTGCCTTACCTCGCCTCCTCCACCTCTATGGGATGTTCTTGCCAAGGTCACCAATGACTCCCTGTTGTTTAACCCAATAATTATTTTGCACTAGGATTGATCTTTCTGCAGCATTTGATGTTGTTCCCCCCATTTTCCTTAACGTCCTAGGACCACTTATCCTCCTCATTTCCCTAAATGGCTTCCTCTCCTTCTGTCCCTTTCCTAAGTGTTGTTTCCTTAAGGAATCAATGCCAGGCCTACCTCTCTTCTTACTCTATGCCCTTTTCCTAGATGATGGCATCTGCCTTGTGGCTTCAATTCCATTCTACTGGTAAAGATTTCCCATGTATTTTTCCAGCCCAGGTCTTGTGAAGACTGGTCTGTGTTCAAACTGAACTTAATTCCTTCACTTCCCCGTTTCTCATATAAGTTCCCAACCTTAGGGGGGAATACCATTGTTCACTGTGTAAGATGGAAAACTTAACTTCCTTTATCTCTTTTCCTCTCCCATAAAATAAACAAAAACTTTCTATTGATTTTTATTTTCTACATGTCCTTTAATCCATATATTTTCCCATGAGTACTCCTCCCCCATCCTAGAGCAGGAGACCTTCCATTCCCGTCTGGATTGCCCACCTCTAGTCTTGCCTTCCAACAACCCATCCTCCACATCGCAGCAAATATTTCTCCCTGATCAAAAGCCCTCATGCTTTCAAAAACCCACAATCTGGCTCCTCTTGCTTCTCTAGCTTCAGTTCTTGGCCCTTTGCACCTTATTTTGCTCATCTTTCGTTATTCTGAATTTCTTTTAGTTTTCAGACATACCTGCTCACTCTCATTTCTGGGCCTTCATATGCTACTTTTTTGTCTGAATCATTCTTTCTATTCTCTCCTCTCCTGGTGAATTCCTCCTCCTTCTTTGGATCTTAAATTCAGAGCACTTCCTCTTATTATAGATGCTGCCCTGAAAGCCGAGTCTGGCAAAGCTCGGTCTGTACCCCACTGTCCTATGATCTCTACCCCATGGTCTCTACCCCACTGTCCTATCAGAGCACAAGCTCCCCTTTATCCTAATTGCCTGGGTCATTGTATCTACATTGGATTGTCAGTTCTTCAAGGACAGGAGCATGTCTCCCATGTTGATGTTGTATCATTAGTGCCTAACACAGCTCTTGATGCATGGTAGGTGCTCAACAAATACCTGTTAAATGAATGAATGAGCCTCAAAGTAAACGATGATTCAGCCTTCTCTACCACACAAGTACAAATGCCTTTCTCTCATTTGCAATTTTTTCTTCACTAGTCAAGCTCCCCTGACTATAACAACTATTACTTTTCCACAAAGCAGACAAAAACTTTGTTGCAGACAAAGCAACTTATATATCCCAAAGGAAGAGAAACTTTCCTTTTCTGAGAATTAGCATATGGTAATTGTCAAATCCCAGGGTATATTTTAATTGAACCTTCACAGTAGTTCACTTAGCTTGTACTCAGTGCTTAAATTGAGTAGAACCTCATTAGGGAGGTTGTGTCATGTCATGCCTTAGTGAAAGTGGAGAGAATGAGAAATAGAGCTTTCCATGTCATGGAGACATGAGAGAAAGGGAGCATTCTGGTCTGTGATCTTAATCCATGTGTCTTAACTATATTGACTCCTGATTTTGGCAGCGACACTCATGGCTATCAAAGGAGGTTAGGATTTTGCTTCTAAATCCCATTCTAGGTTTTGTATTTTGCAAGGATCCACTGCATGTTTCCCTCCTTTCCTCTCCTGTGCCTCTCCTTTCATCCCAGCCTCATGAGCAACCTGTTTCTAGGGTATTTTTCCCCAGGAGCATATCTTCCTAAGGGAACCCTGTGGCTGCCAGCCTCAGCCACGAGTACTTATCTGGGCTTCTCTGTCACTTGTCATTCACTTGTTCTGTTCTTGCCACCCTGAGCTCTTCCCCTCTTGTGGCCCTCATGTCTCGGTTGAGGCAAGTGAAGGCCGCTCTCAGATGCCAACCCTGCAGTTGCTCTTCTGCCTGGAATCCTAATCCTCAAGACCCTGCTCAGATGCTGCCTCCTCCATGAAGCTCTTGCTAAGTTTTGCCAGCCCCTCTCACAATGCAGCAATTGGACATCTCACATTTCTCCAAATTTTCAGTGGCTTTTATGTGTACGTCTCTTAGATCACATGTCGATGCTTCTATTTCTTTATATCCATAAAATGGAATTAAAATATGGCACCCCAGCATATGAATGTTGTGAGGTCTAAATGAGCTAAAACATATAAAGCACTTAGCACAAGAACTGGTGTACGGTGAACATGCAATAAATGTCAGAATCCAGAATGTAAAAGGTCTAGTGAGGGTGTCTCCACCTTGGAAAATGCAGATGTGCACACTAAGGGTAAAGGACATTTGTGGCTGATGCCACAGAGAAAGCTAAATCTAAACTGTGAATGATGGAAGGCTGAGTGAAGATCTAATACTCCCCTGAGAACCCAGGTGCCTACTCTTTTGAAAGGATCAATTTCATCTTTATAATTCAATAGAATAGCTTGGGCAAGGAGATGGCAAGGGAGGCTGCCCAAAAAAGGCAGCAAAGGAGGGCCAAGGAGCACAGGGTTTTAAGCTGGTATTTAAGTGTGCCATATTTTAATAGCTGATGATTTTAAGGGGGTTGGAAATAGAATGCTAAGGGAAAGTCATGTTTTTGCTGCCATCTACAGATGTCAAAGTGCAATTTTAAAAGTTGCTTCACACACACACACACACACACACACACACACACACACACACACACCCCAACTCAGAAAGTGAGAATGTAGATGATAATATATGTAAAGTATAAGCTCTAGTAAATAAAATAATTTAGACATATTATTATAGCAGCTTATTTTACCTTTCCTTTGAAAACTTTGTATATTTAATCAGTAATGCAAAGTTTCTAACAACTCAGTGTGTGCTAAAACTTCTCATTGAGAGACTGCTATAATATAGCTCACTTGAGAGTGAGTCAGTCACCTCTCAGGGCAGAGAGTTATAGCAGCCAGTGGGCAGATAGAGAGTTAATAAACTGATTTCAATGAGGAATGAGAAAAATGGAATTTTACCCCCACACTTTCCTGCATTTCTCTGGTTGGTATTAGAATTACTAGGAATTGCATTTAAACAAGTGTCTTTTATTGGTTTGGACATGATAAATCAATAAAAAACAAGTAAAAACAAAATATAACAGTGACGTCTCTGAGATGTGTTCTGCCCCATGCTGTTTTCCGTACAATTTCCAATATTATTATGATGCTTCCACAACTTCCTTCTGTGTTACTTTTAAAGGGTTAAATATAGACAAGAATTGTTGGAAAAGCGTTTGATGGAGAAAAAGGAGGCGGCCCTTCAAGAAGCTCATGAAGACAAAGAGAGAGCACGGCGGCTAGAAGCCCTTAGGAAACAGGTGTTTTTAATTTGGAAATTTTCATGGGTGGTTTTAAAAAAAAGTTTCTGAGTGCTCTTAATAGCATTCTTCCTGGGGCTTAGTTCATGACATCTGCTATATAAAATGTAACTTTTCCAAATTGGGACACTGCTCTTCATTTCTGGGAGCAATTAGATTATATTGAACCATTTCCAGTTTCTCAGTGTATTGAAAGAACTTTATCATCACCTTTTAAAAAGCTCTCCCAAGATTTAGCTATATCTGTACCACCTAGAGTTCATTAGCTGGATAGTATCTATTTACAACAGTGAAGCTCTACATCTAGTCTACGAAGTTTACTTTTCTCGAGAAACCTGGTGGAGCTCAAGCAAGATAATCTTCTTTGGTATAGGAGCCTCCCTTTGGAAACATTCCACAGTCAACAAATGTGTTAAAAATGACTTTTGAGAAAATATCTATTTTGTGGAGAAATAAAAGACTCCCATCACTTTGCCTAGTGAAAATAAGCAAAAGTAGATAAAAATAGGTAGTAGATGGCAAGAGCAAGAATTTAAGAACTTGGGAAATGTGATAGTTTTACATGATAATTTTTCAGGGTGTTTAATTTGAAGTGGTTGTTTCAACTCAAAATCTCTAAAATCTTCATTGATAGCATTTCCCAGCTAATAGGAAAGGACGATTTGGTTTCCCTTCTATGTTGGTGGAGGGAACACAGAATCATGGATAAGAACTAGGCCTCTGGTGTCCTTCCAACCTGGTACAAGCTGGTTCTGTTCTCACTGGGACTGGAAACAGGTCATTTACTTAACCTCTGTAAGCTTTATTTCCTCACCTGAAAAATGGGAATAATAGTACCTGCCTTATAAGTTTGCAATAATGTGAGTTCAAATTTATTATTTATTAAGTGTAAAGCCCTCTCTAAATGCTGTTAGGTATTACTTTAATTTCTACAACAACTTTATGATGTGGGTAATATTCATATCCCCATTTAATAGGAGAGGAAACAGAGGGGACACAGAGGTTAGGTGCTTTCCTCAAAGTCGCACAGCTAGTAAATGTTATACTGATTCAAACCAAGGAAGTATAGCTAAATGAGATGGTATAGATGTGGTGTAAATGCATACAACTATTATATCATCATCTTCTTTGATTAAAAAAAAGATTATAAAGATAAATTTAAAGCATAGAAATGTAAGTCCTGGTAATCCTGGATCCTACAAAATTTTAGTTATTCAACCATTAGCAAATATTTATATACCATGGCCTTCTGGGTACAAGATTTAATGTCACTATTACTAAATACATTCTTGTTCAAAACATAACTTTGATAACTACAGTGTCTATATGATTAGAATTCTTTCCATCTGTGAATATTTTGAAATAGGAAATAGCTGTTATCTCTTATCTATATTCAGTATTTAGAACTGTGATGTAAGCTATTTTAGCTAGGAAACCTATAATAATTAAAGCATGTTCAACCCTCAGTTATTTCATTGCAGTCTTTAAATGTGTTAAGAATGCCATTTTCTTCATGTGAATTCTTGACTTTCCAAATTGATAGGCAGGTGTTAGTAATGGTGCATATCATTTACAAAATTACTGACTTCTTTTCATTAAGATGCAGGTTTGAATTATCATAAAACACAAAGGCATTTGGGTTAAAATGACTTTGCAATTTTTCAGTAGAAAGAGGACAATGGTTTCTAACAGTCTCTGGAAATCTGGTTGCCTGATACAAAGGAAATTTACCCACCTTGCTCACTAATGCCAGGACACTTGACTTGACCCATGAATGTTATGCTCTAGATCTAGTTCAACCATATTAAACTTCCTAGAAAACTTCATGGGGTTGTTATTATAACCATAAATTGCTAATGGTTAAAAAGTGAATTTTTTTTTTTTTTTTACATTCTGTGACTTTCAAGGTGGTTGAATATGTAAGGTTTTCTATACAAGATTTCCTGTGACTTCATATCAGAAAGATAAATTGTTATCTGAAAGTAATTATAATTATTCAATCATTAGCAAATAACTATATGCCATGGCATTTTCATATTTTGTCTTATATGTACTGTCTTGTTTTGTGTTCACTCCTTTTTGGATCTTTAGGACTGGCCAATCAACGTTTTTTCTACCCTTTCCTCTCAGGCTTTACCTTTAATAAAATGTCTTAACTTTAATGGGCATTAGACATCAATAATGTTGCCTAGAAATATTTAGTTTGTACATTGTTCCCAGTAGCCATGCTTTCTCATTTTTAGGTTGCTGTTGTTGCTCAACTTGATCCTGTTAGAATGATGTCACATACAATGGCATCGAAAGCTAGGATGGGCATTGAAATTGAAGAAGAATTTATTCTTCAAAAGCCACTCTTCACATTGAATACATACAATGAACAGCAGGTAATTATGGAAATTAGCATGACTGATGAAAAAGCCATGATGATGATAAGGACTGTAGAAGTGTGTGTTTGGGATTACAACAGTTTTCAGTATTTACGTTTGACTATCACACATATTAGCATAATTTTTACTTCTAAATGATAGTACATAATTACTACATAATTCTTAATATTACAAATTAGCTAATAGGTTACCATAGAACAAGAGGTTACCTAAAAACGTTATAACGCTGTCATTGAAACTTTTATTTTTAAAAGTTTTTAAAAATCTCTTTACAAAATGTTATTTGAGAGTTCTGTATTAATCTTGTGTTTTGTTTAAATGTTTCTCTGTTACATTAAGAATTATATTTAAATTCATAACATAAATTATATTGAACAGCTGATACTGATGGCAAAGCAGAGGAAAGCTTTTAGAAATTAAAATGAACAGAAGATAATACATAAGAATTAATGATAAAATAAAGCATTTTCTATGGAAAAAAGTGTTAAGGGTTTATTTAACCATTTTTAGGACCTAGGGTTCATTTTAATCTGTGCCTGTAACTGAGAAAGTATTTTAAAAAGATCTTTTAGATGGATGGACAGATGGAAGGTAGGAGGGAGAACAGATGAATGGATGGATGGATGGATGGATGGATGAATAAATGAATGAATAAATATCAGTCACTGAAATTAAGAAAGTAGAGAAGCTAGATAATTATTTAATTATTTTAAAACCAGGAAATCGTCCATTCATCCACTACCAAATAAACCTGTTACATCTCTACTATGTGCTGCATACTTTGCTAGGGATTATAAAGAGGCATAATTCATTCATTTATTAATTGAACCAATATTTATATAACATATATTATATTTTTGCTCTGCATATGGTGCCTGGGTTATATCTGAGCAAGACAGACTGATCTCATCTGGAGGAAGTGAGCAAAAGAGCCTGGCCGGGGAAGAAAGTAGCATGTACATCAACAGCGCCACTAGGGTGGGATCAACTTCATAATGAAGGTCTAAGGTTGCCCTAGGAAGAGGAAGGGATGGCTAACCCTGACTAGAGAAGTCAGAGAAGGTATCAGAGAGAAAAACAGAGCCCTGTCTTAGTCAAAGATTTTTGGCAGCAGTAGCAAAATCCACTTCAGATGATTTACAATAATAACAACACATCAACAACCACAAAATAGGTTGTAGGGGAGGATACATAGGGAGAAGGAAGAGGTGTCTCTAGATCCTAGCTGCCAAAGTGGGGAGAACAGCTGAGGCTTGAAAGAATTAAAGTCAGAAGCTGAAAAGCCTCAGGCAGCTGGGCTAACCCTCATCCCAAGTTGAGCTATGTCACGTCTGGGCTTGACTGAGCGTAAGAGGGTGGTGCAAGGCTCTTCCTGGTATGTCTTCAGTGTAAGGTGCATGACAAGGGGTACATGACACATTCTGAGAGAGGAGACTGGAAACATGGGTTAGGTTCAGGCAGTTAAAAGCATAGTAGGTCTTCCTACTAAGGCATCTGTATACCAATGCCAGACTTTGAAACTTATTATATACAGTCATGTGTCACATGACAGTGTTTTGGTCAAAGACAGACCACATATATGTTGATGGTCCCTTAAGATTACAAGAGAGCTGAAAAATTCTTATTGCCTAGTGGTGTCTTAACATCATAGTACAATGCATTTCCTCTTCTATGTTTAGACTGACAAGTACTTAGCATTGTGTTACAACCTCCTACAATAATGAGCACAATTACATGCTGTACAGGCTATAGCCTAGGAGCAGTGGCCTGTATCATATAACCTAGGTGTGTAGAAGGCTGTACCATCTTGGTTTATGTAAGCATATGCTATGACTTTCACACAACAAAATTGCTTAAGGACACATTTCTCAGAATGGATCCTTGTCCTTAAGTGACACATAACTGTAATCAGATTTATGTGTTAGCTGTGTGTCCTGAATGGAAAATTGGTGGGGGTAGGGGTGGGTTGGGGTGAGTTCCTTTTAAAATGGCAGAACCTTCATAGAAGTAGTGATGGTGATGGGTTCATGGATGGCTCTGGCTGGGAAGGGGAGGGGAAAAAGAAAGTAAGGATGATCGCAAGCTAGACAGAAAGTAATATTAAGAGCTGGTGTTTTGGATTCAAATCCACATCCACTATTTATTGGCTGGGTGCACTTATATAAGCTATTTACATCTTCATGTCTTGTTTTCTTCATCTGTAAAATAATTATTTACAAAGTCCCTGTGAGCATTAGAAATGTCAACTGCCTAAAAAATTTCCTGGCACCTAGTAGTAATTCAGTAAATTATAATCATCCGGTGGTGCTGCCATTAGCTATATAAGAATACAGAAAAAAAAAACAAACAGATTTAGGGAAAGAAAGAATTTGTTTTACTTATACCATGTTTAGGATAAAAATATCTAGTACACATTTACAAGAAACTGATGGGCTGCCTCCAGGGAAGGGAATTGGGAAGATGGACGTCCAAGTAGGAGGGAGATCTCAATTTCACTCTCTAGCTGTGCAAAAATTGAATAATAAAAAAATTTAAGCCTCACAATGTGGAGTTGAAGAGAGAGGTGAGTCCTGGATGTAATTTGGGAGTCAATGGCATACAGATTGAACAGGAATCACTGGAGCACATGAGAGCGGACCAGGGAGAAGACCTTGAGACAGAAGAGGAAAAACCTGGGTCTAAGGCTCAAATTAGTTGCTTCTCAGACACAAATAATCTGTATTATTCTTGACTTCATACTCATTGTTGCTCCAAGCCCTTTATCTGATCAGCTGCCAAGTAAAATTGATTCTTCTTTTCATAGTGTTTCTAAGAGTTATCTCTTCCTTGCTACCAGCCAAGTTCAGACATTTATTACTTTGTCTAGACAATTGTAGTAAACTCCTAATCACTCTTTCAGCCTCCGCCTCTTCTTTCCCTGCCACCCTAATTTATTCTGAACTTACAATCAGACCCATCTTCCTATGCAACTACAATGATTATATTATTTCTATGCAAAAACCGGAAACAAACATAACCCTAGTAGCTCGTTAGACTCAGCATGGCCATGCAAGCCTTTGAAGTTCAAATCGTAGTCTGAGAAGCATCTGTTTCCAGTGTTACTCAATGGTAACCAGTGCTCTGCTCAAACTACCCTTCTCCCAAGTTGACCTATTTCACCTCTGAGTTTGTATGTGTCTTCCTTTCTCATTGGATCTCTTTCCCCCCAGTCTGCTTTATAGACTAAGTTACACTTTAAGGTTAGTTTAATTGCCCATCTTCACCAAGACCATCCTCATGCCACCAGCACCAAAAGATGCATCTCCGTGTTTTACTACTTTTAGGGCATCTGCCACGTGTTGCCGTAATCTGTAGCTATCGGTGTACATTTTTATTGCCTCAATTTGTCTAAGAGCTCCTGGAAGGGCTGCTTTTAATAGCTTATTATCTCATCCTCTAGGGGGACTTCAAGTCCATGTAAAATGCCTCATTAGGTAAAATTGATATGTAGCCACTTTCTTATTTCAAACAGTGTCTGTTGGCATTTAATATTCATAGGAGGAGGGGAAGAGGAATAAGATCCAATCAGCTATAAATGAAAACAGAAATTGAACTACTCATATGTCTGCTCCCACTTAGAATCAGATTGATGGAGGCATTTTCTACTTCTGTTTGAAATAGAAATCCAGCCTTGAAAGAAAAGTGCTATTGATTTTGTTTTTCAAGTTCTGGCCATGTGTTTAAACTTAATTTACATATTGCCAAATGATGGAGAAATTAAGATGTCATTTTAAAGACAGATGTACAAGGTTGTGGATTAGATTTATTTTAATCAATGATTATCTGTATTTTATAATTCCAGCCAGCAAAAAGTCATGAATCAATAGTAGTACTGAAAGTAAGCTTCTTTTACTTTATCTTTTAATGATTTTAATGCATTATATTTTGACTAATCTAGTGCACAATATACTATACACCTTATATTGGAAACTGCTGATGTACTGAAAAGTAATGATGTCAAAAAGGTTTGGATGTTTCCAAAATATAGTCACTGTCTTCCCAAAGTCTACTGTCACCTAGTCATCTGTCCAGCAAAAACAAATTAGCTTGGGAAAACATGGAACTAAATGTTAAAAGTTATTTTAGTTTAATGAATTGCTATTTATTTAAATTGTGTTTTTATTTCTACAGATAATTTCTGACCCTAGACTTCGCTTTGAGTTAGCGCTTCGAGAAGCTGGACTTCATAGAACACTTTATGCCAAAGAGATATTACCAAAAATTAGTCCTCAAAAACCTCCAAGAAAAGACATGGAGTCTACTGTATTTAAAATATAGAGCTCATCCTCAAATTCTTTAGGTAAAGGAAATTTTTCTTTGGAAACATTTATATGAATAATAATACTTTCTAAAATGTTTGAAATAGCACACATAGAAATCATAGCATCTAATAAAACAACTTTGCCTTTCTTTTGTGATCTTTAAGTATACTTGCATCTTTAAGTTATATTTAATAGTACTAAATTCCCCCAAATTATGGAACTGAATTATGGCACATGTAGTACATACACTATATTTTAGTAAACTGCACGTTGGAGGTTGTGTTATCCTATGAAAAGAGCTCAAAATAACTATTTGTGAGAATTATAAATTATGTAGCTGCTACCTGCTAATGTTCATTTCTGCTTGCTGTTTCAGAATTTGACTTTTTAATTATGGAAGCTTCATTATCATTAATATTTCTGTTATTTCTTAATTATTAAAAGAAGAGACTCAACCTTTCTCTAAATTTAGAAACCAATTTGGTACACCATGTTTACTGCAAACTGGTTAATCATCCAAACAATTTCATTTTGCAAATAAGCCCTTAAGAATAAATTAGAAAAAAAAAGAATAAATTAGAAATTAGAAATAACATTTCAAGCATGGGAATATCTGTTTTGGTTTGGAAAAATATATATATTTGTGTGATTATTTAGAAGAAATATTTAAAATTTCATAATATTTGGAATGCTGTCAAAAGTTCCAAATTATTAAATATTTAGATGATTTTTATGGAAAAGGAGCATTTCAAATAAAACTCAAGCATAAATATTTGACTATTTCTAAAAATGATTTTTCAAGCAGAATAGCAAGTTAGTGTTGTTAAAAGTTGCCATGTTACCATTAAGATTTCTCCCCTCCTTTCTCTCTCTGTTGCAGCTGCCTGACATTTCTTTCTCTATTGTAGCTCTCACCTACCTCCCAGGGGTTGCAGTCTCCACGCAATTACTGGAATAATGTTTAAAAAAAAAATAAAAAGCCAGTCCAACTATTGGAATCTTTTACTTCATGATTGTCCCAACATCATGGAAATAAAAAATGCAAGTACAACCCCATTAGAATAAATCTTCACAAAAGATTCTATGGACAATATCCTTATCTGCATTCCAAAATTTATTCTAACGCCCTTCTAGTTGCCTCATCATAACATCTCATAAAAAGAGAGGAAGAATTGTTTTACAAGAGCTAAGTAAGGAGTAGTGAGCATTAGTGTTTAAGGTATCTCCTGGGGTTATGATGTTCCTTTATGGGCCCTCAGTTTGCTTGATGTGATGCCTCAGACATAGACCCAAGAAAGCCCTGTCATGTCAGAGCATACCCTCTCTAAACATCATGACACGGATACTGCTCAGAGTCCACGGATCCTTTCCAACATCAACATCCACACTGATGTCCAGAGGATCACACTCAAATTCCAGCTGAATATCATTCCCTTTACATTTTCCCAACAGTCAGACTAATAGCTGGTGATAGTACTGTGAGGGGTAGCACCACCATTTGGAGAACAATTGAGTGACATGTGGTGGTTCCTTGTAGACGCTGGGTATTAGACCTTTGTCAGATGGATAGATTGCAAAAAATTGCTTTCATTCTTTAGGTTCTCTGTTCTCTCTGATGACAATTTTTTTTTTTTTTTTTACTGTGCAGAAGCTCTTTAGTTTAATTAGATCCCATTTGTCAATTTTTGCTTTTGCTGCAATTGCTTTTGGCATTTCATCGTGAAATCTCTGCTTGTGCCTTTGTCCTGAATGGTTTTGCCTAGATTTTCTTCTAGGTTTTTTATGGTTTTGGGATTTACATTTACATCTTTAATCTGTCATGAGTTCCTTTTTGTAAAAGGTATAAGGAAGAAATCCAGTTTCAATTTTCTGCATATAGCTAGCCAGTTCTCCAAGGACTATTTATTAAATAAGGAATCCTTTCCCCATTGCTTGTTTTCTTGAGATTTGTCAAAGATCAGATCTAACTAGCATTTTTTTTTCTTGAAAAAAAAAATCAAATAAATCTGAAATCCAAATGGCTAATGAACATATGAAAATATAGAAGCACCAATTAAAGCCCCAATGAATTACCAATATGTACCCACCCGATTGGCAACAATATCAAGAAATCTAACAATATCAATTAGTCATAATATAGAACAATGGGAAGCACATACTGGAGGGGGAGTGTAAACTGGAAACATTTGAACTTAACTGATAAGGTTGAAAGTATTCATACTGTTTGATGCAGCAATTCTACTGCTAGATAGATGCTCTTGAGAAGCTCCTGCATGTGTGTAGGAGGACATAAACTAGGATTCCCAAATAAAAACAAGCCAAATGTTCAACAGTAAATAAATATAAAAAATGTAGTATATTCATATACAGAATTGCATCCAGCAATGAAAATGAATAAAATAGCATCATGGACATAGTATTTAGTGAAAGGAGTCAGATACAAAAGCAGGCATATTGTGTAGCATTTTATTTGTCTAAGGTACAAAAGCAGGCCAAACTAACCTATGTTATTTAGGGATATATGCATAAGTGACAAAATAATAGAAAAAAATAGAATGATTAAATGTAGAAACAAGGTAATGCTTACCTCTCAGAGATGGAGAGACAGTTGGGAGTAGGGGCTTCCAAGTTACTGGAAACGTATTGTTGCTCAACCAGGGTAGTGATTATAGTATCTGTCTAATTATTCTTTAATGTTTAGAAGTGTCTTATTTATATACTATAGTAGGTCAATGCTATAAATTCCCAATAAAATGACAAAAATTAAGAAAATTATTTAAAACAATATTTTAGTATGTAAGTGTATCGGAAACAATCTTGTTAGCCAGTTTCTGATTTAGTATCCTTAATTTACATGAATTTCTGAGACAGCAAGGCCAGTCCCTGCTCAGGGGTCATATTTACTCTGACACGGAATAGGATCCCCTTTATTTTCCTCCACCCCAACCCTGTGCTCTGCTTCATAAGGTTGTTGCTCTTGGCAGTCTAGTTTGCCTAGTATGCTTAAAAAAAGAAAGAAAAGAGGAATATCCCTAATAGGAGTCAGCACTGGGCCATGAAATTTGATTTCAGTTATCTGTGTTTGTGTATAGTGGGTATAAGAAAAATATATTTATTAGTGGGTAATGGTCCAAAACAATTTAAAAACCACTACCCTCAATCCATGATTAATAAATGGGATATCCTGATACAGCTCCACATCTTTGAAGATGATGGGCTTGTTTCAAACTGAAAGGAAATAATGTAATCCATCTGGTAAAAATTCCCTTACCTCACCACCACCAAATCTGCAAATACACCCAAATGGGCATTTACCTTTTGCATCCTCTAGCAGAGGGAGCAAACCTCCCTCTATTAGAAACCAATGTTTCCATGTGTGTTTTAGGTTTCATCCCATCTCAACTCCGCAAAAATTTTCTGTTTTGCTTATTCTATTTCTCTCCTGTATCTTCAAGCTCTCTCTCAGCATACAAATATGCTGGAAGAAATTCCACTTTAAAAGGAAATCGCCATCAACCCTGTATTGTCCCTTAGCTACCAAGCTATCTCTCTCCTCGTCTCAAGCAAACATTCTTAAAGAGGAGTTCCCAATAGCCATTAAATGTCTCTTTTCATCTTCCAGTTACTGTCACTCATTCCGATTTAGCTTTGCTCTCAGCTCCTCTGACACTGCTTTTAGCAAGGTCACCAATGACCTGTGCGTTGGCAAATCTGATGATCTCTTCTCAATTTTCGTCTTACTGACTTCATGACAACATTTGATTCCGTTGACAACTACTACATCTCAGAGCATGCTTTTCCCTTGGCTTCTATGATACCAGCCTCCTTTACCTCTTGCTACTCTGGTCATTCCTCAATTCCCTTTGACCTCCTCCATCTCTATCCATCTCTAGATGTTGAAATGCTCCAGGATTAGACCATTTAGTTCTATCTTTTAAATTGTTGTATTATCCAAGGGAACATCCTTCAATGTTATACTTCAGTTTTAGCTTTTAAATTAGATCTTTTGAGTGTCTTTTAATCTGTAGGCCTCCCCACTCCATCCATTTTCCCCTTTTGCATTTTACTTATTGAAGAAACAAATAAATTTGTACGCAGAATTTCCTATGCTGGATTTTGTTGACTTTATCTTTTCGGTGTCTTAACAGTTTAATACATTCCTTTCTCCTCTGTTCTTTCTGTTTGCCATAAGTTGGTAGTTGACCCAGAGGCTTTACAGACATAAGATTCGGGTTGTTCTCTTTTTTTCTTTTTTCCAAGGCTACTTTATTGCAGTGATTTGTTCCCCCAGCAGGATATGTATATTGTCTGATGGAAACTCTTTTTGCAATTTTTGCTGCCACTAATCCTCAATGCCTACGTCCATTAATTAATTACAGGTTGCATGGTAGTAATATATTCAAATTCAATCACTCTTTCCTTTATTACTTGGAAAAATAACATAAAGAAAAAATTTTTCTCTTCTGGTATTTGATAGTATAAGAGGAGTAGGCTAAGTGCTTGAGGTTTTTTTTTAACTTAACAGTTTTACAAGTAATGAGTTTGTTATTTGACATCCTGCAAACATGGTCAATTTTGTTGTATTTTTATGAAGTTATGAATTTAAGTGTATTTGTTCATTTCATCTATTAAAGTGTTATCCTTATTGATGCTCCATTTATCCCCTCCTTGTCCAATGGAAACCTTTTCAGTTTGGCTCATAATTCTATTAAGATAGCCTAATAGACTTGGTAACTTCCTTGCCATGCCAGCTCTCTATTGCTGTGCAATAAAACTTAGTGGTTCAAAACTCATTTTTAAAAATTATTTCTCATGTTTCTGTGAGTTGACTGGGCTCTACTGGATAGTTCTCACTTGGGGCCTGTATTAATTTCCTATCACTGCTGTAAAAAATTACCACAAATTTAATGCTTTAAACAATGTAAATTTATCTTATAATTTTGAAATGTCAGAAATCAGAATTGAATCTCACTGGGCTAAAATCACAGTGTTGAAGGGTTGTATTCCTTTCTCAAGCCTATAGAGATAATCAGTTTCTTTGCCTTCTCCAGCTTCTAGAAGCTGCCTATAGTCCTTAGCTCATGCTGTCTTTATGTTATCTTCAAAACTAGCAATGGCAGGCCTAATCCTTCTCACATCCCAGCACTCCACACTCCTCTTCTGCCTCCCTCTTACATTGTTCAGAACTCTTGTGATTACATTAAGCCCTGATAATTCAAAATAATCTCCCTATTTTAAGATCAGTTGATTAGCAATCAGAATACCCTTTGCCATGTCACCTAACATTCACAGATTATGAAGATTAGGAAATTGACATCTTTGGGAGACATTTTCTGCCTACCACAGGGTATATTATAAATTTGTAGTCAATTGCTAGTTGAGGATGTAGTCATCCAAAAGCTCAAGTTGGCTGAATGACCAAGAGGACTCACTCACATGGCTGGCAGTTGATGCTGGTTGTTGGCTGGGAACTCATTTGAGGTTGTCAATGGGACCAACCACCTACACATGACCTCTCAAGATGACTTGGCATTTCATAGAATGGTAGCTGGGTTCCAAGATAGAATTTTCCAATAGCAAACATTCTAAGAGGCATAAATGCAGGCTGCTAGACCAGATGAGATCTGCTGGAACTAGTACAGGGTCTCTTCCTCCATATTCTCTTCATCAGAGCAGTCGTAGAACTCTCCCAGATTAAAAAGGTGCGAGAAAAAAGGTCCACTTATTGATGGCAAGGTCACATTGAATAAAAGTATGTGAAATAAGAAAGATTTTTGCAGCCACTTTTGGAAATCTGTCATGTTTGTTATCAGGCATAACAAGATGTTCTAAACTCATTTTGAGTATTTCTTGCTCTGACCTGGAACTAACCACATTGCTACTAGTTGATCTTCTATTCTAGACCTTTTAAATGAGCATGGTTAGAAAAAACACACACACACTCCTATACATAATACATATACACGCATATACAGACATATATACAAAACGAGCTGGGTGCAGTGGCTCGCACCTGTAATCCCAACACTTTGGGAGGCCAAGGCAGGTGGATCGCTTGAGGCCAGGATTTCAAGACCAGCATGGCTAACATGGTGAAACCCTGTCTCTACTAAAAACACAAAAATCAGCAAGGTGATTATGCCTTTTCTATTTTTTTCCTTTTGTTATCATTGTATCTATATTATGATGGATTATATAGATATTACACATACTCTCTTTTATCCATAATTGAATCTTTTTCTATAAGTATATATTTATGGATATTGCCAGTTTTTATATCAGTGTCTCTCTTGTCATTTAGGTTGTCTGAAGCCTGTTTTCAAGAAGATTCTTCAGGAATTGGTCATGGAAACAATATTTTCTGGGTCCTTGAATGTTAATAACAGATGGATGATGGTCTTTATAGTTGAAAATAAATTTTTCTGGTATAAGATACTTTATTTACGTTTTTGTTTCTTAGCATAAAATGTCAAAGGGCTGGCTTTAATATGGTTTTCTTTACCTAAGAATTACTTGATCTTTTTGCCTGATTAGAGTTTTTTCACTTTGTTTATAATATAGTAGTTTTACTGAACTTTATCTTTGTGTTTGTCATTCTGGGTTAACATACTTACTCAGTAAATTATATTCCCTTTCACAATATAAATTCGATTTTATTTCAGGAATTTTAAAAATTATAATTTTTAGTGTTTGTTGCGTTTCCTTATTTTCCCCTGGGACTCTTATTATGCTATTACACTATGTTGGATCTTCTTTGCCTATAGTCTTTATACGTCACTTTCTTTTGAATTCTTTTAATCTTTTTCTTCATTTTTTACAAACTTTTAACTTAAAAATAACTGTATAGAATAGCTGCAAGAATAAAGCTGCTGCAACTTTAACCCAGATTCTTCCCTCGTTAAGATTTTGTTCAACTTTTAAATTCCTTTTGTGTTCTCCTTTAATTTGATTCATTTCTACAGCCTTTTTTGTCTTTCATGACATCCACTTTTTGTTTTGATAAATATACATAATATAAAATTTACTATTGTAACCATTCTAAGCATACAATTAAGTGGCATTAAGTACTTTCACATTGTTTTGCAACCATCACCCCTATTTATCTTCAGAACTTTTTCATCATCTCAATCTGAAACGCTGAACCCATTAACCAAAAACTGCCCACCTCTTCCCCTCAGCCTCTGATAAGCACTATTCTAATTTTTTTCTCCACGAATTTGTCTATTCTAGGTACTTCATATAAACAGAATCATGTAATACTTGTCCTTTTATGTGTGACTTATTTCACTTATAATAATGTTTTCAAGTTCACCCATGTTGTAGAATGTATTAGAATTTCATTCCTTTTTAAGGCTGAAAACATCCCATTGTATGTATATACCAAATTTTGTTTATTCCTCTGTCAAAGGACGTTTGGATTGTTTTCATCTTTTTGCTATAGTAACACTGCTATAAACATTGACGTGCAAATATCTGTTCAAACGCCTACTTTTAATTCTTTTGAGAATATACTCAGAAGTGAAATTGGTAAATGATATGGCAATTCTATGTTTAAGTTTTTGAGAAACTGCCATGCTGTTTTCCACAGTGGCTTTGCCGTTTTACATTCCCATTAACAATGCACAAGAATTCCAATTCCTCTACATCCTTGCTGGCACTTGTTATTTTCTGCCTTTTTGTTTTTGTTTTTTTAAAATCACAGCTATTTCAGTAAGTGTGAATTGGTATCTCATTGTGATTTTGATTTGCATTTTCCTAATGAATAGTGCTGGTGCGAATTTTTTAGGTGCTTTTTGGTCATTTGTGTATCTTCTTTGGAGGAATGTCCATTCGAGTCCTTTGCCCATGTTTTGATTGGATTCGTTTGTTATTGTTGTTGTTGTGTTATAGGAGAGCTCCATATATTCTGGAAATTAATGCCTTATCAGATACATGTAATTTCCAAATATTTTCTCCTATTCTGTAGGTTGCCTTTTATCCTGTTGATAGTATCCTCTGATGTACACAAGTTTTTAATATCAATGTCCAATTTATTTATTTTTTTCTTTTGTTGCTTTGCTTTTACTGTCATATCCAAAAATTGATTACCAAACACAATGTCATGAAGCTTTTCCTCCATGTTTTCTTATAAAAATTTTATCGTTTTAGTGGCTATGTTTAGAGCTTTTATCCCTTTATGTTTTGTATACAGTAAGAATTCAATTTCAGCCTTTTGCATGTGGATATGCAGTTTTCTCAGGACTGTTTATTTAAAAGACTGTTTTTTTAACTGAATGGTCTTGTCACCTTTGTTGAAAATCAGTTGAACATATATGTGAGGGCTTATTTCTGAGCTCTCTATTCTATTCCATTGGTCTGTCTGTCTTTACGGTAGTACCACACTAGCCTAAAGACATTAGTCTGATCACTGTAACTTTGTAGTACGTTTTGATTTGTATGGTCCTGGTAGTTGTAAAAAATCATGAAGAGGGTGACACTTTCTACATTTGATGTATATCTGGTTATTTTTTATGGAATCTGTACTTCCCTAGGTTTTATTTTGCGCTCATTAAAACAGCTTCACCATCTCTTAAAATCTAGCATAGCTATATTTTACCTCTGTGTTCTGCATTCAGGACTCAGAGATAAAATATGAAGCCATTTTGAAGGTAAAGGACATGGAGGGGAAAAACAGAATCTTGTTAAGACCAGTGCTTTGCCTGGAGAAGTCATGAGAAAAGTCTAAGATATAAAATTTTTAAAGACTGCAAACAAATCCCAGAAATGATGAAGTTTGACCTGGGAAGAAAAAACAATCTGGGAATTCTACTGTTTCTGAGATTTGATCAATTTCTTTGGAAAAATGATTGAATGGCTGCCGATACACTTGAAGATGAACACTTGATACATTACTGCTGAATACTAGAGAGATCCTGAGAGGAAAGTCTCCGGAACTTAGACACTGAGCATTTAAGAACAGTAGATATTTGAAACTCAATACAGGACTGAATTATGATAATAGAATCCACAAGCTGCTTGACAACTTATGGAATGAACTGTACCCCTCAGTACTTAGGGAGAAATATGACATCAAATCTGTTATTACCATATTTTTATAATCTCCAGAAAGATAGTTTCCACCATCAACTGTAATTCTTCTTGTACTAACAAATGCCTGCATTCTTTTTCTTTCCTGCCTTTAATAGTATTGGAGTCAAGGTTTTTTTCCCTGCTTAACTTGATTCAGATTTGTATTTAAATACATGTTTTTAATGTCACTGGTGGCCTCACTAATTTCATCAAATATTTTTTCTCAAAGAATTTATTTTGCTTGTGGGTAAGCAAATTTGAGGAATGAGTAGTTGCCTCATTTGCCTTCTATCTTGCACATTTTCCAAGACATGTCAATATTACTTAGCACCACATATGCTTAAAACTCTTAATATTTATGAACAATTTCAAAAACAATTTGCTTACATTTCTTTAGACATTTTATAAATATGGCATTCATCTGCAATGTTTATCTTCACAGTATATTAAAAACAAAATGATGCAACAAATGCCCTGTTACTATTGAAATATACACTAATTTACTTTGGGAAGATTATTCAAAGTAATATTTTTAAACCTACTAAAATAAAATCAAAGTTTACTTGGTAGTGAAAATAAATGCCTTGCTAAATGAAATCCAGCACAGCACAACATGAACTTCTAGCTACATGGACTGAAACCCTGGCATCTAGAAGAAAAAGTCCAGATAATGTGAAGAAAATATTTTGTTCTGTTCTGTTCCATTATTCTACTTCTTCAGTTCTATTGCTGAGATTTTCCAGAGCATTTTGCATTTCTATGTGTGTCCATTGTTTCCTGAAGTTTTGATTTTTTTTTTAATTTATATCTATTTCCTTGAATATCTCTCCCTTTATTTCTTGTATCATTTTTTGGATTTCCTTACAGTGGGCTTCGTCTTTCTCTGGTGCTTTTCTGATTGGCTTAATAACTAACCTCCTGAATTCTTTTTCGAGTAAATCAGGGATTTCTTGGTTTGGGTCCATTGCTAGTGAGCTAGTGTGATTTTTTGGCAAGTGTTAAAGAGCCTTTTTTTGTCATGTTGCCAGAGTTGGTTTTCTGGTTCCTTCTCATTTGGGTATGTCAGAGGGAAGGTCTAGGGCTGAAGTCTGTTACTCAGATTCTTTTGTCCCATGGGCGTTCCCTTGACGTAGTACTCTCCCCCTTTTCCTATGGATGTGGCTTTCTGAGAGCCAAAATGTAGTGATTGTTATCGCTCTTCTGGATCTAGCCACCTAGTGAGTCTACCAGGCTCCAGGCTGATACTGCATGGTTGTCTGCAGAGTCCTGTAATGTGAACCTTCTGTGGGTCTCTCAGCCCTGGATACCAGCACCTGTTCCAGTGGAGGTGGCAAAGGGGTGAATTAGACTCTGTGAGGATTCTTAGCCTCGGTGGTTTAATGCTGGTTGGCCTCCTGCCAGGAGATGGTGCTTTCCAGAGAGCATCGGCAGTAGTAGTATGGGGAGGAACAGATGGTGGGTGGGTGGGGGCCTTAGAAATCCCAAGAGTATATTCCTTTTGTTTTCAGCTACCTGGGTCAGTAGGGAAGGACCATTGGGTGGGGGCAGGGCTAGGCATCTGAGCTCAGACTTTCCTTTGGTGGGTCTTGCTGTTGCCGCTGTGGGAAATGGGGGTGAGGCTCCCAGGTCAATGGGGTTATGTTCCTAGAGGATTATGACTGTCTCTACTGTGTCATGCAGATTGTCAGGGAAATGGGGGAAAGCCTGTAGTCACAGGCTTCACCTAGCTCCGATGCAATCCAAAGGGCCAGTTTCATTCCCACTGTGCCTCGCCCCCCAATAGCATCGAGTCTGTTTCTAGGCAGTGGGTGTGAAAGGCTGAGAATTTGCCCCAGGTCACCTGCCTCCCAGCTGCTAGAGCAAATATGGCTTTCCTTCTTCCCCCACCTGTGGAGTCAGCACACAGGATTGATGCCCTCCCCCAGGTTCTGACAAGGAGGCTTCTCGATCAGTTCAAATTGTTACAAAGTTCAGCTGGAGATTTCCTTCTTCCTGTGGCCTTTTCCCAGTACCTTTGGCCATCCTCCCAAAGCGCCCCTGTGAAGCTAGGCAAAAACAGCTTGCTAGGAGACCCAACGAGCTCCCAGGACTTTTCCCACTGCTTCCTCTACGCCTGCATTTCACTCAGCTTTCTAAATTAAATCAGCTCCAGGTAAGGACAAAATCTCCAATAATCGAGGCCTTCAGTTTCCCCATTGGGGTTATGTGTTTGGGGACGGACAATCTCCCTTTCCCACTTCCACAGTTTGGGCACTCAGAGTATTTGGGTTGTCCTCCGGGCCCTGCAGAAGCAATCTGCTTTCTTCAGGGGGTCTGAGGGTCCTCTCAGTTTTCCTGATTTATTTCTGCAGTTGTTCTGGAGCAAAAATTCACGATGCAACCCTCCAGACGCTGCTCTGTCTGTCCAAGTCAAAGCTGCAATCTAGTCCTGCCTCCCGTCCGCCATGATCCTCATGTGTCTTTTCATATTTCTTATTGTTGTGTTTTAATTACTTCTGTTATAGCTTTGGTGATTTTAAAGCTTTTCTCTGGCAGTCGCTTTCTGAGTTCCACTCTAGTAACTCACATTCTTGGGTCTAATCCTCCTCTCTGTTGACTGTGCGTCACACAATATTGTTACTTGCCTATTCTGTGACTTATCTTCAACAAGGCTGGCTATTTTGTGAGAATTCTGTCACCTGGGTGTGTCTGCTTCCCCACGTGGTTTTGCATTTATTATGCCAGGATCACCAGGGGCATCTCTGTTCCGTGGCCCAATTTTCTGTGTATCTTTTAAAGTGGGAGTTCCTGAAACATAAATTCAAATTCCAAGCCAGACTCAGGCAAGGAGTTTGAATTTCTTAGGGAATTGTATGTTTTCTCCCATTGCTTGTTAAACAGAGACAAACTAGATTCACTAGAATCTCCTGTGCAGGTGGAAAGACTTCTTTAGTTGGGTCTTAGTTCCAATATCCACCTCACCTGACACTAGGCCTCACGTCTACGTGAGCTTTAAACCTTAGCCTCCATGTCTATCAGCTGTAAGCTTAGATCACAACTCTGGCTTTAAGTTTTCTCTTTTTTTCCAACATGTTTTGATTCTCTTCCCAAAATATTTCATGCAGCCTTTGTAGATGTTTGCAATGCTTTGGGGTATAATAGCTCTCCCTCTTACAGAACTTCCGGTAAACTTCTCATAACATCCTTCCACAGCTGTCCTCCT